GGAAGTATCTAGCATGGTAAGAAGTCAGATGAAGGATAAAAGTTGAATGAAATCAAGAATTTTTGAGAAAATGTTTCGGCAGCATCAAGGATAAAATAGAAGGACTCACATCTTCTGCCATTTTGGAAGCATCTGTTGTTTCAACCAAAATCGGCTCTTCTTGGGGATTGGCTGATGAAGATCTAATTGATGCCGAATCGAACGCCTGGGACAACAGCTCCGCACCCAGAACCGATTGGGATGTGATGGTTGATAACTGTGAAGAAAGGGGATTAGAAGTTGAACATCATTTTGAGGAAAAGATGAATTGTTTACCTGAATAGCTGATGGTCTCGTTCTATGGAGTCTTTTCCCAGTAACAGTTTTCTAGGATGTCCCTTGGGCTGCCTTGTGCTTGAAAGATTGATACGTTACGATTGATGGGGCAGCATGAGTTTTCATCAGCTTCTTCAATGGAGGCGCACCTGATCCTATTCTTGAGACTGGGCATGGTAGCTGATAATTTATGGGGTGCCCTTTCCTGTCAAGCTTGGGGGATCAAACTTGATGTCCTAAAAAAGATTTGTTAGAACAGTTAGCAGGGGAAGTCATCGAATAATTTTTTCTGAAAGAGAATAGTAAATTACAATTACCTCACTATCAGAAGCAAACTCTCCATCCAGAGCTATGCATCTAGGATGGTCCAACCCATAGAAGAGATGGGAGTACCATTCTTGCCACCAAGAGTCAAAAAGGTTGGAAGAGAAATTGACTCTTGCCCAGTCATGCAAGTAAAGAGAAGGGAGATCTTATCCCAGTTGAAAAACTCTAGAAGTTTTTATTACTTCACTGATACCTTCTCTTGGCCTCAATATATCCTTGAAGAACAGTTGATGAGGCAATTGACCAAGACCAAACTGACGAGCTACAAAAGAAGGGTTGTAAAACTCATAAGTTGGAAGGTTGCCTGAAAGGAAGGAGCCTATAGCCATTTTGCCATGACCATGATGAAATTTAATTTGGAAGAATGCAGGGCTTCATGAAGAAATTAAAGATTGCAGCCACTGTCTCGTTTGAACAGCCTGATTCAAATTAAAATTTGAATGGAAAAAATCAGTTTATTGTTCTCATTCTCATCATATGGTAGCCAAGTCAGGATATCTGCATCAAACCCTCTGTAAAACTTTTTGAAGAGATGGCCAACATCGATATCGATTGTTATGGCCGATGCAGCCTCATCATAGCTCATGCACTGATGGGTTCTTTCTTCTTCGCCTTTATATTCCTCATCAAAGTTGGAGGAAGGGAAACTCAGGTTTCTAAGATCAGGCCTTACAATCTTGTGCATATACAGGTTGAGCCATAATTGTATCAACCACCAAGGGCCACTAATAGTATGCACTGGTTCATTCTTCAGTAATTGGGTGGCTACCTAGTGCATCAGATGATAAGCAGCTCCTAGCAGATACTTTCCAAGAGAATGTAACTGGTCTATCCTGTGCAGTCTGATATCTTGGCTAATTTCTTGGATCCAGCACTTAAGAAGTCATAAGGCTGCATCGATCCTGTTATTATGAGGCCAGTCAACATATAAACATTGGCCAAAGTGATAGTCATTGGGCCGTGACAAAAAACAAAGGCATTTAGGGTGTTGGACCAGAAATAAGATGTAGAAATCAGGAGTGGATCATTCCTCTCCATTCTAGACAACGAAAGTGTCAGGCATTGATTCAGATCATAGAGCTAATCTCCACCCTTTTTCTCTAACACCCTGCAAAACCAATTTCTCCATCCCCTAAGCATTTTGGGCCAGTTCTGAAGGGAGTCTTGGTATTCCAGGAAGACGAACCCATTACAGATTGTTTGAAGGGGATTTGGTTGGTTTCTTGATAGATAAAATCAGATGGATCAGGGTCACCCATGGGCTCAAGAAAATAAACATTGGGAGCAACAACTGATGGAATCAAGATTTCGTTTCTCATTTTCTGGAAATCGGATGAAATAAATTTGAGAAGAAAGGAAATACAGGGTAGCGACCGGTACTTGGAAGATGGAGATTTGGAAGCATACCTCAGGACCATGGTCATTGGTCGCCATTGTAGCCGAAATAGATTTGAATCTGAGGAAGATCGCTTGAACAAAAACTTAATGGGGCAGAAGATTTGCTAGGGTTGAGACTTTGGCAATGGCGGCATCGGCTGTTAAAATTTGCTCGAGAAGGAAGGGGAAAGCAAACGGACTGAGTAAGTTGGAAAGGATACTATTGGGATATTATATAAGGCTCGGACCAGGAAGTCAGGAGTCATGCGTATATCTCGGAACAAAACGGTTGCGGCGTGATAAACGAATAAATAGGAATTTTGGAACAAAATCATTTTTATCCCAAAATTGGGGGTATGTGTTTACATCAAAATTTGGGAAGAAGAACGCGGGAACTCAAAGCTTCCAGAATTGTGCCGATCAAGGAATCGATTGCATAAGGATCGATATCAGCTGATTCAGATGCAACACTGGAATCAGCTCTCTTTGAATGACGTCAGCAAATAACGATAATGAGTTACGGTTGGCGTCGGGAAATACATATTGGACTCTACAGAAAGGAAAATATTAGGGTACAAGTTATCTTAAGATATGAATGTTTTCTTTTATACCAAAGATTGTAATAAGTCGTACTCGAGTAGGATTCATGTTTTAACTCCGAGTATAAATATTGGACCCCGGCTATTGCAAAGGACATCCAATCAATCAAACACAAGTTATTTACTTTTTTGGCTTCGGCCACCCCTTAGGAGCAGGAGTAGAGTAGATCTCAATGAGTTCTTCAGCAAACAAGGCTGCATCGGTCCAGCCGACCTCCGGTTTGTCTGTAAGTACCATCATGATTTATACTTTGGTTTGTACGGCTGCATCGATCCGGTCGACCTCCACTGCGAACCTTAGTATAAGCTAGTTATCGACTCTTATCTAGTTCAAGTACGACTGCATCGATCCGATCGACCTGCACTGCTCAAACTAGATTAAGGGCAAGTTATCGGCTCTATCTAAGAGTGGCAATCTTTGGTAGATTCATTAACTTACCGATCTTACTGATGTTCTTATCGTCATTAGTTTGCAGCAACATCAACCTGCTCGGTCAAGATCGATTTAGATCGGCCTCATATCCTTTGGGTCCGTCGTTTGCTTTGTCACAACATGATACTTCTTACAATGAACGATGGGTTATGTCTTATGGGCTGTTCTATTTTGATCTTGGTCGCGCATATTACGTGGTTAAGGCACGTATGATCTTGGAGAGGTTTGCTGGTTAGTTAAACCTGGTCTACGGTTCACTATTATGGCTGTAACGATCCGATCGATCTCTACTGATAGCACTATAGATTGGAGGATGCTAGTTAGTAGATCTATTCTTGATTAGACGTGACCTTGACTGTTTGCTATGCCTGCATCGGCTAAATAGCCGATCGCCTATGCGTTAACGCCTACAGCATGTTTACATGATTCTGTTAAATGTGAATAGATCTGTTTACTTTAAATGTTTGATTTGTTATCTTTATTACGGCTGCATCGATCCGGTCGAACCCCACTGTTAGAGATAGCAGGTTAGGTCTGATGAGTCCATAGGTTTGTCCAAATGAAATAGTCGATTGTTCACATGATGTAGTCCTTTTCACATGAATGGGCTATTTTAGCCGATTTATCTATCCAAGAGCCATTCACGTGTCTTTGAGCATTTGCAAAAGAACTTGATCTCGCCATTGTATGGATGTTTATCCAAGAGCTAAGATGAAAGGCTTCTTTAATTCTTGATTTTAGTTTGTTATTATCATCATAGCTACAATCGATCCGGTCTCAAAAACTCACTAGTGTTGGTGGTAACATATTAGATCTATTCTGGTGCTTCCTTTGTAGGTCCATCATCCTCTACATCGTGATAGTCGATTTGTTCACATGCTATATCCTTTATCGTTAGATTCAGTGACCTACCCTATCTTATCAATGCTCGCGATATCGATAACATCTGTCCTCTAGTCTTGATGATCTCATTTATATCTACATGTGGAGATGCTGCATCAAGGACGGGATCAAGTCAACATAAAGTCAAAATGCTACCCACGAGCTTTACGGTCCGTAATACCGATTTCTTTGGATAGAAGAAGAGAACCTCTACAAAAGGAGAGGTCGGCTATTTAATAAAACTTGTTCCATGTTCCATTAGCTTGTTTACATTACATCTTCAAGTTCATGACCATCAATCCATCATGCATTTTTGCGTGTTGATTGCACTTAGAACATATGATTCACCATGATGAAGCTTGAAGCATGAAGTGACATAGACCGCATGTTCCACCCATTGGGCTTTTGTAATAGGATAAATTCATTGATGTTGGCTAAATAGGATGAACTACTTAGACTTTCTCTCCTTGTCAAGTTGTACTCTTTTTCCTTTCTAGGGGTCAAAGTTTTACCTAGAAAGGTTTTTAATGAGGGCACTCTCTCGGGAGAAATATGACAAGATCGAAGTTTTAACCTAGACTTTGGTTGAAGCCAAGTGGATCTCCGGTTTCATCAAGCAGATCCTTCCGGTTTGCTGTGTGTTGACATATTTTCGTGCCGACAAGTACTTACATCTTAAAGGTATGATAGAGATTCAATATTAAAAAAAAAGTTTCAAGGTATGACGTGACTATAAATATTATTTCAAATTGATTAGTTGTCAAATATCCTTTCCTTCTAATGATGTTAATTGCACTCAAACATCTCACGTTCGAGTATCACAACCTCATATTATCTATATTATATGCCCCAGTCTATACAATATTGAATCCAATAATCATAATTTATCCATAAGTTAAATTTATACTGACAAATAGGCTGGTCCTCGGTGTTTCTAGTTGTCCATAATTTCAACTTAACCCCCCCTTCTCTCTTCTGACTCCGGCACCTCGATGCGGCTTGCCAACCGCCGATCTGCCACTGCCGACGATTGAGCTCGCCGCGGGCTAGGTTTGCTTCCGTCCACCATGCCAGGGCCAGGCTCAGCTCCGACCCAAACACCCCGTCCAGAACCCAAACCCAAGCATAACGGCCGCCGCCTCGTCCTCCTAGGACCGCCTCTCCTCGCCGTCGCTGTTGCCCTCCTCTTGGGCTTATCCACCAACCCGTTGCCCCGCCGCTTCCTCCGCCTTCTCCTTGGGACAAAGCACTCCATTCTCCGCTCCTCGCTACCTCCTGACGCAGCCTACGAGGCTGACGCGGCAACCGGCGCGGTGCGCGCACCATGTGTTCTATGGATGGCCCCATTCGCCTCCGGCGGCGGGTACTGCTCCGAGGCATGGTCCTACGTCGCCGCGCTTGACGCGCACGCCGCCGCCGCTGCTGGGAAAAGTAACTTCACGCTCGCGATAGCGCACCACGGCGATCTCGACTCGCCGGAGTTCTGGCTCGGCCTGCCCGAGCGGTCCAAGCACCTGGCGTACAGACTCGCCTCCGCGCGGTGCGAGCTCGCCAGGGCCGTGGTCGTCTGCCACAGCGAGCCTGGTGCGTGGTACCCGCCGATGTACGAGGCCCTGCCTTGCCCGCCCACCGGGTACGACGATCCTGCTTTCGTCATTGGCCGGACTATGTTCGAGACCGACCGTGTCTCGCCTGAGCATGTCAGGAGGTGCAACCAGATGGATGTTGTCTGGGTGCCTACTGATTTCCATGTGTCAACCTTTGTGAAGAGCGGTGTGGATCGCTCCAAAGTTGTCAAGGTGGTGCAGGCTGCGGATGTCAATTTCTTTGATCCGGCCAAGCATGTTGCTCTTCCTTTGCCCATTGGTGTGTCTGTCATGGTGCCTGAAGGTTCAAGATTTGGAAATGGTGACTCTAAACACAAAGGCTTTGTGTTTCTTAGTGTGTTCAAATGGGAACAGAGGAAGGGCTGGGATGTGCTGCTGAAAGCATTCCTGCAGGAGTTCTCTGGAGCTGATGACGTCGTACTCTACCTTCTAATCAATGCCTACCACTCTGATACAAACTTCAGTGGGAAAATCCGAAGGTTTGTGGAAGAATCCAGCATTGAGGAGCCACTGGAAGGATGGGCTGAAATCCGGGTCATCGATGAGCATGTCCCTCAGTCTGTTCTTCCAAGTCTGTACAAAGGTGCAGATGCATTTGTGCTGCCAACCCGTGGTGAGGGCTGGGGCAGACCGGTGGTTGAAGCCATGGCCATGGAACTGCCTGTGATTGTGACGAATTGGTCAGGTCCAACGGAGTACCTAACTGAGGAGAATGGGTATCCATTGGACATAGACAGACTGATTGAGGTCACAGAAGGTCCATTCAAGGGCCACCTATGTGCTGAGCCATCAGTTGATCGGCTGAGGGATTTAATGAGACATGTTGTTGATGATAGAGATGAGGCAAAGAATAAAGGGAAGAAGGCAAGGGAAGACATGATCGAGAGGTTCTCTCCAGAAGTTGTTGCCAGGATTGTTGCTGAAAAGATTCAACAAGTGCTTACCCACACTCAGTTGACAAATGATTAGATACAATGTGAAACCAGAAAGTTGATGCACCATGGAATGCCATGTATGTATGTTTAACACTGTTCTTACTCATTAATTTTGCCAAAGATTCATAAATATCCTTTCCTTGCGATTGAGTTAATGTAGAATTAGTGTGGCCAAATAAGTTTTAATTAGATTTTTTTTTCTCTCGAACACGCAGGAGAGCTGCGTATCATTGTATTAATAGAAGAAGAGAGTCATACGTAGACCCAAACCCACACACACACCCACTACTTCATGAAAACTGAATCGCCGGTTTAAAACATAAGGACGACCCGCCATCTACAACAGTTCTTCAAACTGCTCCTCCAGCAGTGAGCAGGGAGATCCCCTTGGCTCCTGCCATGCTCCACCAATGGGCCTCTTCCCTAGCCAAAGCCAGTACCATATTTACATTTGGGGTTACACCATTGAAAACACAATCATTTCTATGCCGCCAAATGCTCCAGGCTCCCAAAATGACTAGAGAATTCAGACCCTTCCTCAAGTCTCCACTAGCAGCGTTATCCACCTTTCTCCACCATTCATCGAAGGATTGATCAGAAGGTTGTGGAGCAAGTCATGCAAAACCAAAATGCAACAGGAGGGAGAACCAAAAATCTCTTGAGAATACACAGCCCACAAGAAGATGCTGAATATTTTCCTCCTGTTGATCACAGAGAAGGCACTGTTCTGGATGAGGGAGACCCCTCCTTGCCAATCTGTCCGCTGTCCAACATCTGTTGTGAGCAACTAGCCACATAAAAAATCTGCATTTGGGGGGTGCCCAGGTTTTCCAGATCCTCTCATAAGGTTCAAAGGAGACTGCTCCCTGAAAGAGGGTATCATAAGCGCTCTTTGTTGTATATTGTCCCGAAGAAGATAACCTCCAGATATGCTTATCAGAAATATTTTCATTCAACTCCACAGAATTCATGATGTCCCAGAGGTCTAGGTACTGAAATAAGGCTGTCATGCATATTTCACCCTGTATGTCCTCTATCCATTTCTCCTCCGTGAGGGCCTCCAACACAGTACGCTTACTAGATCTTCTTTTAGAGACCAGTGCAAAGATCAGGGGTGCTATGTCCTGAATTCCCATGCCATCCAGCCATTTGTCCTTCCAGAAAAGCGTATTAGATCCGCTACCCACCTCTGTTATCACTGCCACAGAGATGAGGCCAGCTACCTCTTTACTAACTTGGATAGGCAGATTTGCCCAAGGTTTGTTGGGCACACTCCGTTTAAGCCACGGCCATCTTGCTTTTAAGGCAATACCCAGAGACTTTAAATCTGCTATCCCAAGACCACCCAATTCCCGGGAGCGGCACACTTTTAGCCAGACAATGAGGCAGGGACCACCTTTTGCCTCTTTTCGTCCCTTCCACAGGAATGCTCTTCTGATCTTATCTATGGCTTTGATAGCCCAAGGTGGAAGATCTGTTGCCATAGCCACATAGATTAGGATTCCTGTGGGAACATATTGCTCTTGAATTACTCTGCTAGCACGAGTCATCAGATCTGCCTTCCATCCAGGCAGCTGATCTGCAACTCTGTCTATGATGGGTTGGACCTGCTCCTTGGTCAGCTTTTTGATGGTCAATGGTAGGCCCAAAAACTTACAAGGAAAATCCAACACTTCACACAGCAACAAATTTTGAATGAGAGCCAAGTTTTCCTCAGCACAGCGAATAGGCAGCACATTACTTTTTTGGACATTGGTCTTGAGGCCAGATGCTTCCCCAAATAATTGCAGTGGCTATAATGACAAATTAATATCTGCTGCAATAGGCTGGAGGAAAATGGCTACAATGTCAGCATATTAGGACTTCCCCAAATAATCCTCTGGCTGTTGCAAATTAATTAGATGCTTTGATCTTAATTGTATTTGTTGCCGATTAGGACTTCAAAAATTCTTTTATTGAGTTTAGTTGTTCAGTGGATGCAAAACCTATAATACAGATAGTTTGGGGGTTATACCAACTTGTGTTGTCAAGTTGGAATTACAATGCTTAAATGTGCTATATATATATATATATATATATATATATATATATATATATATATATATATATATATATATATATATATATATATAATGCATAATCAACTAGAGCGCTTACCTGTAATTGTAAATGAATGGTTTGGTGATTAGTGAAAGACTGAAAGCTATAGCCTTGCGATGTTATACTTCTCAAACGTGAAACATAACTAACACATGAGTGTTGTTATTTTGCTTTATTATCCTTTCATGTTTAAGTAGAAAAATGAGTAGTATTATTATTGAAATGAAAAGACAATAAGGAAATGTTCTCTTTTAAGTATCAACTATGGAGTGAAAAAAAAATGAAAGAAAAACAACGAGAGTTCTGACGTCTTTAGTTTGGTTTCTTAGTTATGTCTGGCATCCTTTTGAACTGTTCAGTTCAGATACCTTTTTCCTTGATTAAAGATGGGATACCATAATCCAAATTGTAGATCCTACACATTCTTTTGACTGTTTTTCACCATTATCTTATATCTATGGCCTTTCCCTTGGTTAAAGATAACAATTCTAGGGAATCATTTTTTTACCTAAAGGCAAAAGTTATTATCATAAACCGTTTAGTTTTTCCTTTGTATTGTTGATCCACAACTCATAATGTGGGTTGCCATTTCTATTTATTCTGGATTATGTTTTGTGATTGGATATAGATCTATCTGGCAAATCTAGTGCTAACTGTTAACTACCCCCATTCCAAATTCAAAGGCGTTTTGACTTTTTTGGTACATCGATTTTGCTATGTAAGTATGTATCTAGATATACATATGTCTAGATATATAGTACTCCCTCCGTTCCAAATTTAATTCGCTTTAACTTTTTTTGGTACATCTATTTTACTATGCATCTAGATATAATAATATGTCTAGATACATAGCAAAATGGATGAACCCAAAAAGTCAAAGCGACTTATAATTTGGAACGGAGGGAGTATGTACCAAAAAAACTCAAAACGACTTATAAGTTGGAACAGATGGAGTTTGTATTAATTCAACATGAAAAAGAAAGAAGTGATGGCCCGTTAATGAAAATGATATGAAAATTTTCCAATCAAACACATAATACTGCCAACTGTTTGGCATGATATTGTCTCCAACTCTTGCTCTCATCTCCCACTTCTATATCTCACCCCTCCCATGCCCACCTCCAACTCCTGCACAACTTCCATTCCCACTACCAATAGCAGAGACTGTCAATGGGCCTAAAAAGTTTTATTGCTGATTAAGGGTAAAAAAACTGCTAGATATTTTGGAAAAACATGTGGCTGGTGTACAGGCATTCCCTGTTAATTGACCTTGCATTTGTGCTTTGTTTTTGTTTCTCACATGTTTTTAGTCTGAACACCAAATTATACGACTGCAAATGATGCCATAGATTAACAATTCAGAATTTTTGTATCTACTCTTTTAATAAACTATTTTTTTTTTGCAATGGCTTCGATTTTTTTCTTTATTTTGGGATATAAGGGATTCCTATTTGAACTATGAAGTTGTCTATGTGTATAGTTACTCTAGTTTCATCTGAAGGGCCCAATCGAATTGAAGAGTTATTCTGCTTTCTATATGTTGCATTGCAATGTTTCTTTTTCTTTGTTATTAAGTCACAATTTCATAGTTGTGTCCCAGTACACATTTTTACGTCAGTTAATATGCTAATATATAAAGGAACAATTGAATTATTTACAGGTCAACACCAAGTTCTATACATAGAAATTTTGAAGCTTTTGATTGGTGTTCATTGCCTAGATTCACTTTGTGTATTGCACCAAGTCTTTCTAATATGTCAGTGTTATTGTGACTAGTGATACAGTTATTTTACTGTTCTTTGGGTACCATTTAACAGTGTTGATTCTTTCAAATAGATTTTAACTATGTGGATTCCATGACATCTTTAGTAGTAAATTCATAAGCGTGGTCCACACTTGTTTCTTTTTTATTTTGATAAGCAGAATTAGAAGTTTGGAACTGTGGATGCAGAAACATTTATTTTCCAACTGCTTTCAACCTTCTTTTTTGTTATGTTCTTTATTTGTATTGCAGCAGATATAATAGTTTTTTTTCCATGTGAAACCGCAAGCTACTAGTACATTCAAGATTTTCATGCGAAACTGCAAGTGGGATGGTTTAACACTTATTATGTTCTTATATATAATTAGGTTTTCATCTATCATTCACATTAAACTGTTAGTTTGCATGGCTACGTTTTATTAAGTATCCTTTGGTTTGTGCTTTGCTCATTGTATGGCTGCAAACTACAGAAGAACGTATGATACATTCTCATTTAGTATTAGTAATTGCTTCTACCTATGCATAAATGAGCTTTGCTATTGCTGGGGTACACTTTTGTGCATCCATTGATGGCAGTACCTCTGCCCAGTCATCGAAGTGAGCCTGTGTGGATCATAGGTTAGGATGCCAAAGTTTACCAAATGTTTTTGCCTAAATTGTGAGGCCATGTTTGGACACATAGTAATCATTTACATATGTAAAACCTTTCTGCTTGTATATGCTTGTGCACAACATTACCAGTGTAATTAAAATGATATGTAATTGTTTGTTTGGGAGAAGTAAAGAAATGAACTGTTTACAGCCCTCTAGAATGCAAAGCTTTAGCCTCTGGCTGCCTAGAGACAGAATGCTCGTGGTTGTTGCCTAGAGCTAAAACACAGAGCTCAAGGCCGTTGATGTTGTCTTGTCATTGCCTAGGCAAACCTATGATCGTGCTCGACTTGCAGAGTGTTTGACTTAAAGATGGATCAAATTGAGACATGACGACATGCATTGAGGCGGCAAAACATGGAGGATGACAACAGTGCTAGACAATGGTCGCAGATTGAAGCCGACATGATGATGGCATCATGGATTGAGTCTGGAACAAAGCTGACTTTGCATGTGAGGTCAGACGATTCAGGCCTGAAGCACAAGGATGGCACTGGTGGTGGAGGCTAGATTGGTGAGGG